TACAGTAGACCAATTTCTTGTCTATTTTCTAACTCTCTTTTGTTTCTGAGCGTCTCGTTAGACACTCTTAAAAGAATCCTAAAATTTTTAGGACGAGTCCTGAAAGGATTTTTAGGATTTCGTGCGGCGTCGTTACACGCAATCCTAAAATCATCTTTTAGGATTCGTCCTAAAAGGTCTCCCGCGGCCGGTTTTCATATGTGTATACGCAGCCGCGTCACCAATGTCCATCCATTCCTGCCAATGTCCGTCCAATCCCCGTCAACGGCTACCGTTTGTGGCCGTTGCCCTCGTCTACCCGCAGAAAACCTCCGATGTCTGACCACTGACCCGACGGACTGCTTCTGCACCAGCAACTCCGTGTCGACGGTGCCATGCGCGCGACGCAACGAGTCCGTGAAACGTGGGAATCCTAAATTTTTCAGTTGGTCGGAACCTACTGGAAAATTTAGGACAATGTTGCCTGGGGAATCCTAAATCCTTTAGGACTCGTCCTAACGCCGTTTTCACATTTTCAATCTCAAAATTGGATTTAGGATTGCGTGCAACCAAGACTCAATCCTAAAAACAGGCACTTTTTGGAGTGTCTAAAGAGACCCTGATTCCCTTCTTTTTCTGAACTTCCGCCCAATATCTGCTTGCTTGATTAGGAATTGCAATCCCCTATGGTTGCTTGCTAGCATTTGGTCTTTTCTCTGTTTTTCGCTCACATGATCTGTCACAGTGGAGGGGCTCCACCTCGTGAAGTAGGTTGGAGACCTTACTCTATCAGCACACCTAGCATCCGGTCGGGTTGTTCTTTTAAAAAAAAAAAAAAAAAAAAAAAAAAAAAAAAAGAGACCTTACTCTCCCCTGAATCTGGAACTAGTACCATTGTATTTTTGGCCTTGGGCACTGGGCCTCGGTTTCTTAAAAAAAAGAAAAAAAAAAGAAAAAAAAAAGTTTAAAAAACTGATTAAAAAAAAACAAAACAAAGGCTCTGTCGTGTAAACAGTCCTTCGTTTGATTGATTGAAAAAAAAAAAAAAAAAAAAAAAACCTGGCCTTCTGAGCTGTAGGGGGAGTGTTCTTGGGCCGATCAGATGAGGGCTTGGCCTACGGCGACTTGATGGGCCTGACTGACTCGGCTACTCAACATTCGAAAAGAATCTGGACTGCCACCTAGACCAGATGCATTTGAACTGATCGAATGCCTTGAATGTGTTGAGACCATTACTCTGTCCAGATACATGTAGAATCTTGCGTAGTGGAGCGAGGCCAAATGTCTTGCGACTCCTGCGACGAGGTCCCATTAGCAGTGGGATAGGAGTGTGGCGGATCCAGTGTGACACTGAGTGGCAGCGGGCTGACAGGTTCATTATGATTTTTTTCTTTTTTCTTTTTCTTTTTCATCGTTGCGCAGGGGCCATGCTAATCTTCTCTGTATCTACCTACGACTACTCCTAATTGTAGGTGTGAGGTGAAATTGAGAGTACATACGGTAAGTAAAAAAGTGCATTTTCGCGGATCCCACAGTGTTCCGAACTCGTAGGAGGTCCCATTAACTTAGGAGGCGAGTGGAAACATTTGTTGTCGTGGCGGGCAGGGAATGAATGGCGCCGAAAAAGATGTAAGGAAAATCGAGGAGAATGCAAGAGAGCTCTGCCAGTACCCTGCCGCGAAAAAGAAGGGACACTTTTTTTTTTTTTTTTTTTTTTGGGTACTGTCCGTTTGGGTGGGCTGGTTTGTCCCTGGTTCGGTTCGCTGTGTGGCACGGCCGGCCCCCCTGCGTTCGGTCCCGGTAGTGTCCGTGCCACTGGACCGTTTTCCTATCCCAATGAAACCCGCCCAACGAAAACCGCCGAAACCCGCGTGAATGCTGCGAACGATACGGGCCAGTGGGGTCCCGATTTTCTTTTACGGCCTGACTGGAGCGGCCCCACCTTTTTCGTTACTTTTACGGATTCGTCTTCCGTATGTAGTGTCGGATCAGACCCTAACAGATGTCCCGAAGGACTCCTTATGAATTTCTGGGCTGAGAAAACAGAAGAAAGGCAAAAAAAAAAAAAAAAGCAACAGAGACCTCCCACCGGAAATCACGGCAGAGTGCTTCCCAGCCATCAGATCACAAATGATCTGATGATGGTGGTGGTCCCCACAACAGTGAACAAAGTAACCACCACATTTTTTCTGGAATAAACTCGACTTCTGTCAGCAGTGATCCTGACACCCTCCATATACTCCGTGATTAAAGGAGGGCTCCACCCACCAAATGAGATAATTGCACAACAGCAAGTAAAATACTGAAAATCTTCTATCCAGTGGGCCTAAGGCGGACCCCACCCTCCTTTTGGGTTGGCCACACCCCCAACCTATTGAAAAGATTCTGGCGGGAAGCTTTCTTTGCACGGGCATGCCCAGTGTTAAACCACCAGTACTTGGGCGACGCCTTGCGTTAATGCTACGCGATTTCAGCGGCCGGCGGGTCGTCGATAAATCGAATCGACAGCCCGCGCTGCTTCGAGATTTGGGCGGCCGGCGCGGCGCCCAGTGCCCAAGTACTGGTGGCTTAAGGAGAGGAGGAGGGGAACCAAGATCTCCTTACTTTTTCGGGTAATACAAGTAAAATACTGACCGTGGGATCACCAGTACTGCACGGCAGGATTTGGGTCACTCAACTGCCCCACAGACTCTTTTCTATCCTATCCCGTTGCTAGTGGGACCTGGCCATACCGACCACACTGCCATCTTCCCCCAAACATAAACGCACCCTCACCTCATTTTGACTCTACGTACCCGAAAGGTAGCTTGTATTGTATACATTCATCATCAGCGTGTGTTGTGTTTCGCGGGAAGACGGTAGTCTTAAACATAACGCACCCTCATTTTGACTGTATGGGACCCCAAAGCTAGCTTGGATACATTCATCATCAGGGTGTGTTGTGTTCGGGGGAAGACTGGGAGTCCTGCGAATTGCGGGAAGGGACGGGCACTGTACTTACCAGGTTGAGGTGCAACACAATTATCCAGTTGGTAAAAAATAAAATAAAAAAAAATCCAGTTGTAGAAAATAAATAAACAAAAATATATAATGACAATAAAAAAAGGCCTGAAAGGCCGTCGTGTCCAGATTTGACAGGTGTAACACGTCTTGGCAGCTGTGGATCTTCTCCCCGTGCAATGTGCCTCACTACTGTTGCAGTGTTGAGATCGTGCCCTGACATGTTCATCTGACTGGCAGCAATCCTGGGCATTGTTGTCTGGAGTTTTTTTTTTGGGTGGGGGCGGGGAGGGAGGGGCGGAGAGGGGGAGGATAGTTGATATGTCACTAGGGGCCTTGCTCCACTACTCACCAAATGTGCCAAATGAGAACGAATCTTTCAGAGAAATATGGACAGATACACCACCAGATGTTTTCGGCTTTTGCCTATGTCGTGGTGTATCTACACAGCGGATCGGCGGAGAAGACACAGCTACACCAGATGTTTTCGGCTTTTGCGGAGGTGGTGGTGTATCTGCACCGCTACACAGACTGATCGGCGGAGAAGACACAGCAACAGCACAGATCAAGGCACTTGTCCTCGACACCCACGCCGGAAAAAACTCAGAATTTCCGAGAAGCAGAAAACAACCAGTACTCATAACACCACGGTCAACACGAAAAAAAAAAGAAAAAAGAAAACAACAACAACAACAACAACAACAACAACAACAGGGTTGGGGCCTCGCCGCAAGGCCTCACGAAGCCCTGATCCACCGTTTCGCTTCGTTTTTTGCCTCACCGCCCCACAGCGCACACGAAAACTCTAGCGACAATGCCCTGGCGACAGTAGTGGGGGATTCGTTTTGCTACAGTCCAAATTTGTGGACGCTACGGTCCAAGTTCTTGGATGGACTTCGTTTGGAGCGATGCTGTACACTCGTGAAATTTCGCAGCTCCTCCAGCCTACCAGCGGAGGACCTACGAGTTCGCGAGGGCTGCAGGCAGGGAGGAGTCGGCACACTCGTGAGGCCTCGCCAACTCGGAGGCTGACAGCATTCACGAGTTTTTTCTGACACAGTTCGTGTGGGTGCTATGCGGCGACGACTTCACGAAACAAAGTCGTTTTTTTTTTCGTTTCTTGCACCGTGTGGCAAGGCCATTGGTCTGATCAAAGGGCACTTCATCCATCAAGGCCATGATATGGGAAAGGTACTGGTGGTTCAATCTTCCGTTCCCGTATTTTTCAACGCGGCCACAGTGCAACTGTGAAAAGCGGCGGTCGTATGAACCAGAAGTGACTGGATCATACGACACTCTGGCCGCCCTTTGTAAAAAAAAAAAAAAAAAAAACTGTGAGATGGTCAGATACGTTGGGCCAACTTATTTTGCAAGGGATGCTGGCAGCCATGTCCCACTTGCTGTCATGAGCTTGCTCAACGCAGAGTTTTCTACCACGTGTGACCTGCGGCGACCCAGGAGATGAGTTCGGTTGCCGCCCATCGGGCGGTCAGATTTTTCTGTGAAATCGGAAAGGGCTGCTAATGTTTTTTCGTCCTTGAAATGAAGGAGAAAAAATGGCCGAACCCGGATACAATGCCCATTACCCTGGCCCTCTTCGGTTGAGCTGACGCGGGGTAGCTAGCTCAACGGATGTTGAGCTATCAAATTTGTGTCCGTCCTTGGGGCGTCATTAGACTATCCTTACGAGTTCCTTGAGCCACAAGGAAATTTCCTTGGGGCAGATAAGGGAATTCTGCGTGATCGTTCCACTCATCCTCGGGGACCTGCCCCAAGGACGTTCCCTTGTGGCGTGCCCACGGCCGTTTTCATACGAAAATTACTGGCCGCGGGGTCAGTCGTCCTTGGTCCACAAATTTGTGTCCGTCCGGCGGCGGCGTGGTCCAACGACGTGAGGCGGGAAACGGCTTTGGGCGGCTGACGGGAGACGAATTTAAGGGCGGGCCCTTGGACGTTCGAAATTCAAAATTCGAATGACGGCAGTGACTCCGTGCGGCGTGGTTTTTGGCGGGGCGGAGACAGCGCGGTACCGAAACGGGCTGAGCGGCGGCGTTCGTTCCGCTTCGTCACCTCCAGCCCCCGCATACATCGTCGGCTGTGTCCATCGCTGTCGACCTTCTTCCACGTTGACTGCGTGCGTGCAAGGACGACGCACGCGCACGGAGTGACGGTGCCATCTCAGTGTGACGGATATGGAGTTCGGCGGAGAGGGCGAACGTGGTTTGTTGACGCTTCGTGAGCTGCAAGTCGTGGCGGCGGCCGTGTCGACGTTTGCAGAGAGAGCTCGTCGTGAGCGGGCGCTTGGACGACTGAGGGCGGAGTTGCGCGCACGTAGGAGGGTGGTCATGAGGCTTCAAGACAGCATTGGTCCGGAGTACGTGGCGACATCGCAGAGTGTTCTTCAGCTATGGTACGTGTCGGGGTGCGGAGTGATGCCGAGAGAGACGCCGCGGTGGTGGATAAAGCGCAGGACTGGAGGCACGTGGGAAGACCTCCGCCAATGCGACGACACGACGGACGACTACTTCCGGGAAAAGCTACGAATGTCGCCACGAGTGTTCCGGGAGATCACGGAGGCATGTGCACCTCATCTTCAGCGGCGGGTGACGTTTTACAGGGAGCCTCTGCAGCCTGACCAGATTGTCTCATACGCATTGTACAGGTGGGCGTCGGGTGAGACATACGAGAGCGGCACGTGCAACTTCGGGATTGGCAGAGCCTCTGGCCTCGTCGCCGTGCGCAACGTCACTGCCGCGCTGCTCCGAGTGTACGCAGATAAGATTGCCTGGCCGAGTGGACTTTGCAAGCTTGTCGTCCTGCGGTCGTTCGCTGATAAAGGATTCCCCAATTGCCACGGTTGCATCGACCGTACTCATATCTTCGTCGACAAGCCGGCGAATGCCCCGAGCAAGAACTATTAAGACAGGAAGCGTCGTTTCTCCATCGTCGCGCAGGTTGTCGTCGACCTCGGCTTGCGAGTCGTCGACGTGCACTGCGGATACCCGGGAAGCTGCCACGATATCAGGGCGCTCCAGCTGTCCAGCCTCCGGCAGCGCGCGGAGTCAGGGGAGTTGTTCCGTGGTTCGCCTGTGACACTCCCTTTTGGTGTGCGCACGAACGGCTACGTCCTGGCGGACAACGGTTACTCCCCATCTGAATGGATGGTGGTCCCGTATGGAGGCATCAATCAGCACGTGGACGACGAGCGTTTCAACAACAAGCAGAAGGTGGCGAGGGGAGCGGTGGAGCGGGCGTTCGGCAGGCTGAAGGGCATGTGGCGTCTGTTTCTGCGATCACACAAGACGAACCTGGACACTCTCCCGCAGCAGTTCACCGCCGTCTCTATACTGCACAACATACTTATCGACGTCGGGATTCCATTCGACGAGAACCTGCTATGGGAGGTCGACGCTAATGGTGTGCGAAGACGTGTGGACCTGGGGATGGAAGAGCCCATGCAGCCCGTGTCGATGCTTACTACGACCGACGAAGCGTTGGCCCTGCGCACTGCTCTGTCGGAGCGAATGAAACAACTCTGAGTCCTGTTGCGACTCAGCACGGCAGGGAGTGGCATTGTGTTCGTCGCAGCGATGGCTGGAGGGTGGAAACTTCGTTTTGTTCCGCCTTCTGCGGGGTGTCTATGTACAGGCCAGGGGTCATCGTCGTCGTTGATGGTTGTCGTCCCTAGGCGTCGACGCTGCGGGTTTCGTGTTATGCATGTAGAGTTCAAACAAGGCAGCAGTGGCGTCTGCGTTGTGTTTAGGTCATGCAGTGCATTGCGGGTAGTGCGTGCGCCGTTTTTGTTAGAATTTGGAGAGACAGTGGAAGCAATCTCGTGGTCTGGGGGGGGGGGGGGGGGGGGGGGGGGGGGGGGGGGGGGGGGGGGGGGGGGGGGGGGGGGGGGGGGGGGGGACGGGGGGTTGCCGGTTTATGGCACTGCCCTCAATGTTTCATGTGTTCGTTAATGACATGTGAGTCCTTTTTTTGCTGTGTTCTTGTCATCTCAAGATCCTGTAATCTTCAAAATGGATGTCGAAAGAGTGATGAGGTGTGCATGCATTGGAATTGCTTGTGACGTGGGGTCAAATGCAGACAACAAGTGCTGCCGTCTTATGCATTGTCATCGATATTGTGTGGCTATTCTTCCTACCTTGTTTCATGCGTGCATGATATGTGGTCGTTGAAAGCAATCCCAACGATGCGTTTACAAAAGTTCACATTGAATACAAATAAACAAAAAACAAAAAACTGATAACATGTGCATGCATTGAACGCAATCATCAAACACCCATCGGAGCAGAAACAAACAAACAAGCAATTAGGATCACGAAAAAAAACGAAAGAAAGCTGAAAGCGCGAAGAAGTTAAACCGAACGAAACATGCGTTTTCAAAAAAAACTGACTACGGCGTGCTAATCAATTACCCGCCCCACCGACGTACAACAAAGGACTCACAGCTACACAAACAACACGATGCATGGACGTGAATCGTACAACCCGTTATCCACTACACTGACCGACAAACTACACGTCTGCACACCGACGGGTCTACCCTGGCAAATCCGACCGAAGAACGGACAAATCACCAACACACTGCGCCTCGCCTCCAAGCGCGGACAATGACATCACTGAGGCCACGTGTACAAGCGCCGTCAAGCATCATCTGCCGCTAGTGTATATCACCAACCCAATCGACCATCCCCAACCACCCCAACCCCCCAACTCGCCCCTACGTCTCCTTCTTCCCATCAGCATCGTCGTCGTCGTCGTCGGGGGGGCCAGAACCCAACCAGTCTAGCTTCTTCGCTTCGTCCGACCCTGTTATGGTGGCGTCGTGGCCGAAACTGATGCCGCAATCCGCCCAATCTGGGATGTACTTTGGATACTCGCTGAGGGTGGCGTTCGCCTTCCCGAGCCTTTCGGTCACGGCGTTCACAGCGCGGAGGACCTTCTTGCGATGCTCGAAGGCGCAATGCATGGACGCGACGAGCGTGGGCTTAGCCACCAGCTTTGCGAAGTAGAAAGCTTAGTAGTGGCTGCGCGGATCGTCTCCCGCCATGCGCATCAACCACATGCTCGCCGCCAGCAGCAGCCTGAAACAATCGGACACCCGACAAAGACGCTCGTACGAGATGAAACCTTCGTCGATGGTAGCACCCATCTGGATCGCCGCGCGGAATGCATGCGCGATGCATATCATAGTGGACTCCTGGTACGCCGCCATGTCGTCGTCGTCAGGCCTATCGTCAACGTTCGCATCGACGAACCACAATGGCAAGTCCATGCCTAAGTCTATCGTGTGCGCGCAAACCGCGGCGTTGACGGCGTTACGCCACTCCTCGTCGCACCACATAGCACGCGCAAGGTCCGTGGCGAAGGATTCCAACGTGTACTGGAAGGCGAGATGGTAACCCCTCGGGCGGTTTCCGGACTTGAACACCCAGTCGTGCAAGATGCGCATAACAACGTTCTCCAAAGTCGTCGCGCGTTTCGTGGCTTGCTGCAGTTGTGACTGGTCGGAGATCCGCGCCACCTTCACGCTTGATTTCGGCATGACGACCCTCCGAGGGACGGTAGGCGCTGGTAGCCCGCTAGCGATGGCCACGAAATATTCGCGAGTTTCGTGGACGATGTTGTACAGTCTTCTCCCCTCCCCCGTCGTCCAGAAGGTTGTGTCGTCAACGCACAGCAGGGCACGCTCCAAAAGATCCTTCGTCACCACTCCCCGACGATGACGACTTGAAGCGGGTTCATCACCCTCCCGACTAGGATTCTTCTCGCTAGGCGTGCCCCCCCCAGCAGCACCTGCTGCCTCCGCCCCCGCTGCACCCCGGGCGGCGACGACTGCACCAGCGGCGACTTGTTGGGCGGACCCTCCTTCATCGTCCGGGCGAGGCTGACGTGGTGGAGTCGGCATGCCTTCGGTGCTTGCAGCCGTCGTGCGCAGGCGACGTTTCTCCAACGGTTCGTCATCCGACGAATCGACCACATTGACGACAGCGACCTTCGCTGTCCGCGTGTCGTGGCCTTGCACTTGCAGCGCGTCGGGCGGCGGGGTGGCCATCCCCTTCGAAGCGCTATGATCGGACGACCGTTGCCGATCATCCTCCCGCACTGCAGACAGCGTTCCCTCGGCGCGTTCTTCCCCGGATGCATACTCATCGTCATTGTCCCGTTGGGCTGCTGCCACCCAACCTTGCACGATCCGGCTTGGAGTGCTTCCTGAAGCTTCCTCCTAATGCAGCCTCTTCCCCTTGGGGACATGCCGCCCCCTCTTCGACTGCCCTTCGTCGTCTTCAGGAAGGGCGTCACGTTTCTTGCCACGGGCGTTCCCTCGCGTAGACATGATGACGTGGCGGAGACGGCTGGAAGCGACGTTGGCGGACCAATTCGCTGGAAGTGACTCGTCGATCGCCGAATGAAGTCCCGCCGACGACGCTGAAGCAGGACCAAGAGCCCGACGAGAGTGCTCCGCACTAAGAAGAAGACCGCCATGCGCCTGGCGAGAACAAGAGTAGACCACGTGTCGAGAAGGCTGATCAACACGTCACTGATGTCCACGCGGCGAGAAGAGTAGAAGAGCGACGATGGTGGTAGTCAAAGGCGCCGAAGATGTCCGCTGGGAGCATGCGATGATAATCCGCGGCGAGGTGCCAAAGGCTTCTTCAACTTCGCGCGGCGGGCATCTGCACTGGTTACTGCACAGGCGGGCGACATTTATGCGGGTCGGCAAGCGTTGCAATGGCCCATATTGACCGCCCACCACGTCGCTTCTCTGGGCCAGGAGACGACAGCTTCGACAGCGACACGTGCGGCAGCCCTTCCCGTCCTGGCATGTCATTAACATCATCCAAAAACAGCGGGGAGGCTCTTCCGACTCCCTGCCGACGGTGTGATTCACTCGCGAGGGAACGAAAAAACCAAAAAAAAAAACAACCTTCACCCATGGCCGCCCCATCGCCGGGAGCCGTCGCTGACCCATACCCCCCCCAGCAGCCCAAAAGACCCCCCCCACCCCCCCCCCACCGCCCCCACCCCCCCCCTCCTCCCCACTTGCGCCCACCAACAACTTTTCCCCAGCCAGCGAGACGACCCCATTGTCCACAACCCCCGTACCGCATTACCCATCTCAGACGCGGCTGTGCCCATTTCACACGTGGCTCTCAGTTCTTCGACCAGCGAAAACAGAGACGATGCACAGTCGTCCAACACGAAAAAGCAACAAAATTTTAACAACTGCAATGCTTTGCAGCCGTGTGGACACGCAGTCACACACACACACGCACGCACGAGGGCAGAAATGAGACGGGGGATGTCTAGCTAGACACCATACTCCTCACGATCTATCGCGGATTGCTTTCGCTATCTCCAGAAGGGCGTTACACATCATCGTGTTCGCCGCATCTGCTGCAGCATAATGTCCCCTCTGCAGCTCCAGTTCGCTCTCAAGGACCTGGCACTGTCGTAACATCATGGAGCATTGCCGCTTGCTCGCATTGTCCATTGTCGTCGCCATAAGCGTTCCATGGTCCTTCATCACGTCGGTGACTACCTCAAACGTTTGTTGTCTCATATTCTTCCTCTTCCCCGTTGCGGCGCCGCTCCCGCCGCTGAATCTAGAATCTTTCGTCGACCCCTGGTCTTCGTCGACGGGCTCCCCTTCCCCCTCACTGCCGATGTCATCCCCTACAGCCCCCGCTCCTGCCGGCATCTGCACCCCCCCCGGCGCCCCCGTGTCCGCCAAATTCTTCGGGTGGATAGTGTGATCCCCCTTCGTCATCGCCTCCATCTCGTCGAAAACGCTCCGGTCCATGACGAAGTTGAAACCCTCCGATCTCCTCGCCGAAGAAGCAAGCTTGAAATAGTCCTTCCCGCCGGAGAGGTTTTGGTACTTGTGAACCTTCTTGAACTGCTGCATCAAGTTGTCCCACTTCTTGCCGCAGTCGACGGCCTTCCGCTGGACGCCCAACTTTACCAACCTCTGCCGGACGTCCTCCCACCTCCATTCCCTAGTCTTCATGCCCCCGAAATTGTGGCCCATGCCCGCAAAATACAGGTCTTGATCCCTTTTCGCCCGGACGAGTGCGACCGTGTCTCCTACCGGCCAGAAATTGCGACCGCCCTCGCCATCGCTCCCGCTAGTGTCGTCGTCCCTCCTCTTATTCCTCCAATTTGACGGAGTGGAACCTTTCTTCGCACTCGCACCGCCGTCCCTGGCCTTCCTCCCAAGTGGACGAACATCAGGCAATTCGCCGGAGTTGCAGTCTTCTTCATCATCAACGTCGTCACAGTTGAATGGTTCCTCAGCAGCCGCATCGCCGCGTTCGTCCACGTGGAACTCTTGCACCCCTCTCGTTATGGTGTCCGCTCCTGCTTGACGCAACGCCTGCCTCGCATCCGCCCACGACTGCCTACCGTGCCGCTCCACTTGCGCACCCGACGCGGAACCGTCGTACTCTCGTTGCCGTCCGGGTGGAGTCCTTGGACCGCTTCGTGAGGCAGGTGACAGTCGCATCCAATCCGGACGCTGGCGGACATCGCCTCGTCCTCCGCCCTGCGTCGACACCACATTTCTATTCCCGCCGCCCCCGGATGCTTGCAAGAGGCCGTCGTCTCCACACTCGCAGGGAGCTGCCGACGAGTGCTCCGCCCAACCTCCATCTGGGTACGGATCGACGATTCGAGTGTGTGTCGCCGCTGCTCCGCTGCTGCTCGACAACTGGAAGCTGAGATCGACCGGTGCATTGCCTTCATCTTCGCACAGGCCGTCGTTTAGCAGTGACGTGTAAGACCAGGTCGCCTCCGCTCGCCTGGCACCGTACGACTGCGTTGCCGCCCAATGCTGCGTGGAGCCACTTCCCAACGGCACAGTCGTCGACCTCARCTCTTCYCCCTYGTCATCYGACGGCGGTAGAGGAATCTCATGCGAAGGCAGGTGAGCATACAACGTCGGGTCGTACGCTTGCTTCGCCACACACCCTGCACTGCTTCGGCGATTGCTCGCCCCTCCTGACGTGCCGGCGGCCCTGCCGTTGGTCAGTCGTTGATCCATCCTCTCACCTTTCCTCGAAGACCTCTACTTCCTGGTGGGAACAGAGAGCCGCCCGAGAAAACAGACTTGGAAGACGACAACGATGACAAGCAGCACAATGACGAGGAGTAGCAGGGGCAGCTGGTGCAGCAGGTCGGCCATGTGAGGGGGGGGGGGGGGGGGGGGGGGGGGGGGGGGGGGGGGACGGAAAGGGCATGCACTCCACGGCAGTGGTGCACCACCGTGTGAAGAACGCCGTAGACAGAAGAAAAAACGAGGCTTGCTGCACGACCACGCACGCGCACGGAGTGACAACAAGCGACGGAAACGACGAGCTGCAAGAAAAAACGACAATCGTCGTCTATTCGTTGCGCCGGCGGTGATAAACATTCGAATTTCCGACCGTTGACGACGTTCTCCCAGCGCAGCAGACCGCACTCCACCGGCGGGCGACGTCGGACCCGTTCAACGGCGGTCTCACGGGGACCGTGGCCGTTTGGAGCCGTTGGGGGGGCTAGCCACACGGTGGGGGGCTGGGATGTCCGTGTTCCCGGTTGGCGGACCACGTTTGGACCACACTCCAAAAGAAAACTCGCGTCGACGCATGCCTTCGTCGCTCCGGAATTCACGCTTCCTTGTGCTCCGAGGGACCTCGGGAGGTCCCTTTGGGCTAAGGAAGAATTGGTTGTGGCCACAAGGACACCACAAGGAAATGTCCTTGTGGTGTTTTCATATTTTTTTTCGAGAATCATCCCCGAGGATAGGTGGAACGAGCACTTCCTTGTGGATTTCGCGTCCCCAAGGAGTGTCTAACGACGCCCCATGACCTCCTCGTGGGAGGACACTCTGACAGACAAGGGAGTGCACTCTGACAGACGTGGGAGGACAATCTCACAGAGGTGGGAGGACACTTGTGGAAAGACTTGGGAAACACTGGTCTCTTTTATTTGGGTGGTCAATGCACATAGCCAGGAAGACCGTCCATGTTCGTTCCATGCTGAAGTAAGGTCCAGTATCCTACTTCACCCAGTGCACCGGGAGTTATGTATACTTAGGGTCGGACCCCACTGCTCGGCTTCCTGGAAATTTGTTTCCAGGCCGGTGTGTTTGGGACTGCACTGATCTGGAAAAGAGGATGGAAACCCTGAATTGGAAGGTTTTTCAGACCCCACTGACTATGTAAAGACGTTGAGGAAAAGGTGTCAGAAACGTTTCTACTCGGTTGGCGGCTTGGAAATCGAAGCGCGTGGTCTTCCACGACCTTTCCAGAAACGCCTTCCAACCGAGTAGGGGGGGGGGCATGTTCTCCCGTGGAAAGAAGATGCCGAGCGGGAGTGGTCCAGTTGACGTCACGGCGGACCGTTTCATCGGCGGGCAAGCCCCCTCGGACACGCACTGCCCTGTCGCACGGCTCCGATGTGGGCCATTGTGTGGCTGGCCTGCGCGGGTCCTGATTTTCGAAACGGCAATGGATTTCAAACTCAAGACGACGGCCAGCCATGCAGGGGTGATCCAGCCAAGCACTGGCAGCATATGAGTGCATGTGCGGATCCCGTTAGCCCCAAGCGTTGTCCTCATGCCGAGTACTAGGATGCAAAGATGCGTTCGGAGTGCAATGCCATCGCTAAGGAGCATTATAGGCGCAGGGCTCGGGGTCTTTGGTCGGCGAGATGGTTTTTGGCAGTGTCATCGGGCAGGGTACGGGCAATGGTTGCATACGGAAGGGGCGGCCGGCGCAGCGACGGTTGTCGGGGCAGGGAGCCGTTCGGGGGAAGCCGTTTTGCCAATCAGTCGTGGTGTGAACATACTGCATCAACTGTTGTTTCAGCCCGCATGGGCTGCGACGGGAGTTGTCGTCCCATGTACACCGCCATTGTCTTCATCAGCTTTTCGTCATCCTCATCGCATTCCACGTGGCCGGACGTATGATACTGATCTTCGCCGAAGTCCCCTGGACTTGGCTGCACGTGATTGTGTACTCCAATCTCCACATCCGCATATTGTCCGCGCGACCGTTGCTCCTTCTTCCTGTCGCTGTTGTGCCTGTCCGTCGTGCCATCATCGTTGCTGCCCCCCTCCGGTTGTCGTCATCCATGAATCAAGCATTGTTGGCGGACGAACGCAGCAATTGTGGGCTACAATAGGTTGTTGTTTTGTTGTCATTGTCGTCGTCTTCACCGCCTTGTTGTTGTCCATTTTCGTGCTCCGTATCGTTCTCTTCTTCGTCTTCTTCTAGCCGGTACTGGGACTGTAGTGGTGCAGGCAGGTGATCCACTTGCGATGGTCACCGTCCACGTTCGTGGCCTTTGCAGGGGCACCCGGGCCGGGGGGGGGGGGGGGGGGGGGGGGGGGGGGGGGGGGGGGGGGGGGGGGGGGATGGATCCGAGTCAGTGGAGGGCAGAGAACCAGAGAGGCATTGAGGGGGAAATGGATCCGAGTAGGGGGAGGGCGGAGAACCAAGGAGGCATTGAGGGGGAAATGGATCCGAGTCGGTGGAGGGCGGAGAACCAGGGAGGCATTGAGGGGGGATTCCCGACGCGGGACGGACGTCCGCTGGCAGGCAGTCACTACTCATGTCCGTCATCGTCGAGGCTAGAGTCTTTCACTGGACAGTTGTATGGCGGGGGGCGAGGTGCGCCGATTCGTGTCCCAGCAGCCCCTCTCTCCTCTTTGCAGTCTCATGCGGACGCAGCGGGGCAACGTGCCTGGTCCCAAGTTCGGCCACCTGCGGCCACTATGCCTCTTGGAGGTGGTCACATGGGACACACACCGTATGCCACCCAAGTCGGTGGCGGGTATGGCGTGGGCAGTGCGCATACGTTGCCGGTGGGAAGCTGGTTTGGCTTCGCTGCTCACATGTTCCCCACGCAGCAGACGTTTGATAGGGGGAGCACAATGCGCAATGATCGCCCTTGGTCCCCGCAATCTGGGTAGAGTTCCCAGCCTTCGCATCCCATGTACTCCAGCATCACCACTCTGTCCAGCAGGCGATCACCTTCCAATCCCGGTCCTTCCACGGTGGACGCCGACGGATGCGACATGGACAATGCATGGGCGCCTCATTGCGGAACTTTTGTCCCATCAGGGTTTGATAGCGATGCCGCAAACGGCTACGATGCTCAAGCGTGTGAGGATATGGAGGATGACACCGGTAATGGAGATGGAGATGATGTTGACGACGATAATGGCGATTGAGGTGGTGTTCCAGAAACGGACAAAGCCGGCGATTCCAATGGGAGAAACGATGGCAGACGTGGGCAGAAAAAAGGTAGGAACGATGGGCCACCGAAAACCAAAAAACAAAACCTGGTGTGGACGTTGGAGGAGAGGATATGGCTGGTAGAGATGATGGGGGAGGGCGGCGCGCTCATGGCTGACGCCAATGGACAACATCAGTTCATGAAAAGGAAGGAGCGGTATGCATGGGTGGCCGATCGCATGGCATCCGGCGGTTATCCTCAGAGAACTGCGAAGGACTGTCGTAAGAAGTGGACGTCCATGTTGACGAAGCCGAAGCTCATCCTTGACAAGTGGCACTGCGAGAATGCATCGGGCCTGTCGTCGTACTGGGACATGGACCTGGAAAAGTGGAAGGAGCTGCAGGTGCCTCTCGCCTTTGAGAAACCGTTGTGGAATGCCATGCAATGGAAATTGAACAGACCATCCATGACGTGCGACCAGACATTGGGGTCTAAGGACCTGCCGGGAGCAGGAGAAGGAACACCGCCTTCGGGGAGAAGTGGATCCGGAAAAAGCGGGTCTCACGCAAGAGGAACGGACGGCTCAGAGGGCGCAGCGAAGATGCGAAGAACGTCATCACGGAAAACTAGGATGGACGACGTAGGGACCGCCGGATCGACTTTGGTGAGGGCGATGGAGGAGTCGACACGATCCTATTGTGATGGTCTTGACACGGCCGCTTCTACATTGCCGAAGGCAACCTCGGATGTCGGGACTGCGCTAGCGGCGAAGATTGGTGATGTGGTGTAGGCGATAAGGGGAGGGAACACTGTCCTCGAGATGCTCGTAGGGGTTCGCGCCCGCCGCTATGTAGGGTCTGCCGGTGGTGACGACAACAACGGCGGGGACACGAACCCGTCGCGTACATGATATATATATATGGGGCAGCGACATAGTGGATCGGTACCAGGCAGAACCGCATGGGGCCACACACACACAGAAAGGCATATATGTATTTCTGTGTCTGCGTGTTGGCCCATGCGGTTCCGTTGGGACTGGCAGCGGGTCGGGGGAGGTCGTCATTATTTAACTGATCCCGCTTACTTCTTCTCGGCAGATAACAGAGCTCCCAACAGGGAAGCGTTGCGAAGGAGCCTTAATGCCATGTGCGCTGGAGAAGTGTGGGGCCAGAGTGTTCGCCAGCTTGAGAGAGAGAGAGAGAGAACGAGAGAGAGAGAGAGATGGCGGACGTCGTCAACGTGGTGGAGGAGTTCATCGACGGCAAGCTGGTCGTCATACAAGAGGCGACGTTCGAGCGGGGGACCGAGCGCCATCGCCTCATGGAATGGGGTCGGACCGTCGGAGTGTTGTTGTGGACAACACTCGTGTGTACTACGCGCTCGTCAACGGTTGATCGCCAGGAGGCTGGTCGTCGCACTGGGGTTCGATGTGAAAGACGACCTCAGCGAGGTCATCGTGTTCGTGAAGAAGTTGTCCGAAGTCATTCCCGACGAGTGGTGCTCGCCAGCCACGGATGTGGTTGGCGATATAGTGAGGTACTTGATCTCGACCATAGCAGAAGAGCATGAGTCGGCCGTGTACGAGAACGCCTCCTACATCGCCGAATTGGAGCATCCCCTTCACGGCAGAAGCTACTTACATGGAGCAGTGCAGCCATGGTGTTCAGACGATGAGCTTAGAGCCGCTCGCAACAGGTGGTAAGTCTGAGGATACCTGGACGGCAACCTCACAAGGTCGTTGACATGGTGTTTTGGAGCGTCCCTATTGGAGGAGCGTGTACAGCGGCACGTGGTGTGTGGGTGGGTGAATCCTTCCGTTATTGGAAGCAATCAGTTCCCATCCACAAAATTTTC